AAAAATTCTAATTATGCAATTTTATAGCCCATTAAAAGTGAAAATATAAAGACGCTAGGAAATCGCGTTGATTTTTAATCATTTTTTAGCTGATAGTGCTAGGCATTTTCTTCTAAATATATAAAAGGCGCTATCCGAAGATTAAAGGTGAGTGAATTGAACCCCTACTTGGCTTCTTATATTTTTTAATAACTTATCGTTAATACGGACCACACTGAAAGCCCCTTTTCATTTAAAAATTCCTACATGTCCCACCCGTGACAGAGAAATTTCGGATTTTTTTTTTATAATAAAGCAATAATTTTTGTGTAAGTTTTTGGCTTGTTAGTTTTCGTGGTTCTTTTTTATTTCAAGACATCAAGTGCATACAGAAAAGTGATTCGCAGAGTTTCCGTAAAATATATCTGCTCCAAAAAGCAGGTCCTTTTTTGTGCCACCCGTGACAAAAGAAATAACTCAGATTTTATCCATATAAAAGTAAGCTAAATAATTTTTCGTATTCTGTAATAACTCATACTAGCAGATGCAGCGAACTTCGTTCTGGCCAAAATTATAATTTTTTTTTTATTGAAACATTTTGGTCCAAGATTTTCACCAACAATTCATGGTCACCATCTATATTCTTATATTATGGTTTGGTGGTCGGAAGGCATATTTAAATAACCCAAACGAAAGTGTAATGTCCGCGAAGAAGTTCTTGGAATTTCCTCCGATGATCTGGCGTTTCACATCACGGTTAATCGTGCAGCGAAATAAATTTGAAGATTTTTTTCCTCTGCACTCCCTGGCGGCATAAATGATCGGGTTCGATGGCAAATAAATATCTCCTTGAAACTGTATAGTATAGCTCATAGCAATTTCAAAATGGCTGAGTATCGTTGTTCCACAGAAATCCAATATACATAGACTTATTTTAGACGAAATACCTTAAATGCCTTATCAATGAGCGCAATAGTTCTTAACGAAGGTCATTTGAGATTGATCCCTGGACAACTCAATCCTGGTGTCTCCGAATGAAGCTTTAACGCATAATAATATTGGTAAATCATATCCATTGGGCCAGTCGGAAAACACGACAGTTCGACAAACTCTGTGGGGCAGGACATTCCCGACACTTTTTTTCAGTGGACATTTTTTAGTAATAACTCGACTCCAGCGCCACCTGTCGCGTCCTTTTTGTAAAAGTATTGCCCCTACCAATATCTATACATATCCCGAATATGAGCCAAATCGCATCATAAATACGAATTTTTAAAGTGGTTTCGATTCGGTTCGGATCAAACATTTGTGGAAAATTTCGGTTCGGTTAATGGTTCAGTTAATTAATAGAAAAACAAAACGGTTTCCGCTTCAAACCCGGTTTGGTTCAAAACTGGTTCACATGCCTGGAAAATATCTTTCGATTCTGCAATAACGGATGAACGAAGGTAATGGCTGACGAACCGATATTAATGGATTAATTGCAGGGAATACTAAATCTATATATTTACCAAATGTTTAAAACAAACAATTGCATACACAGTAAGTACTTGGTAAATAAAACAGCTGAAAACATATCGAGCCCTTACCGCCAAAATAACGTAAGCGACATTTTTTTTCAAAATTTTCTTTTTGATGCAGAAATGCATCTAGATGCTCTCGGAATATTTCTGCATCAAAAGAAATTTTTGAAAAAAATGTAGCTTACGTTATTTTGGCGGTTAGGGCTCGATATGCTAGGTACACTTGCCTTGATTTCTGCTCTGCACAGCAACAAGTCGTTTATTTTGCTTCGCTTGGTTTTTTAATCACTTTCCATGCATTTGGTTTTATGCTTCCGCAATTTTAGCTAGGACTTTGTCAAATCCACTTTCATTAATCCACTTTTCCACATTCCAGCATTTTCATATATTTCCATGCCACATTTTATTTTGCATTTGTAGTATCTAGCCGCCCTTTGGTTTCCGTTTATTCATTGCGCTGCTGTGGCGACAAGTTAATCCATGATATTCTTAAAGTTACTGCGAGCAGGCGAGTTTGGTTGCTTGTCTCATGGTTAACCGTGGGGTGAATGGTGTTGGTGATAAAGGCTCAAGTGTATGTAGTACATACATACATATGTTTGCATGTATTTGTCGCCATAGACAATATGCCAACTCATCCCGTTTTGTTGGCGCCACTTGTTTTGTTTATTTTTTGTCTTTCTTGTCCTTATTTGTATTGACTGCTGGTGCCGCCACCGCCGCCCACTCTATTGGCCCAGCCTAAACTCGCTGACTGCGGCTAGAAAATCCGGTAAGCACTCGTAAAAGTGTCATAACAATTGCTCTTTATCAGCAGTCATCGCCCATCGCAAATCACTCATCAACGGAAGTATTTCTTCATTTAGCCGACACAAAATCCTATCTCCGTTGGCATATCGGAGATGTTGATTGCTCTTACTTTGGCTACTGTGTTTGTATGCATGAATGTGAATTGATATGTTCATGAGTACGTGTGTACCCTGTGGGGAAAATCTCTAGTTCTGAATGATTGTAAGAAATGTACGTTTACCTACCTTTGGTTGTAGCTGAGTGAGTTTGCAGAGGTGCTTGCTGTTATTTTCTTAGATTCCAGAAGATCCCAAGTACCAAAGTATGAAAAAGCATCTGCGAAGTGTAGAAGAAAAGCGTATTTGAACGAAAAAACCGCAAAATCTAGAAAAAAAGGTTTTTTCTGTCGTCCCTCGGCAGGCAATGGCAAACCTCCGAGTGTATTTCTGCCATGGAAAACAGTTTCTCATAAAAATACAATCGCCGTTCGGAGTCGGCATAAAACTGTAGGTCCCTCCCCTGTGTGTGACAACATCAAGGCGTACGCCACAAATCAGAGGAGAAGCTCGGCCAAACACTAACATATGTGTAAGCGCCGATCTATTATTAAACAAGCTCCCCGCTGCATCTCTTTTTCTATAGTTCTGAACCAGTTCTAAATTCGTCACCTTAGATATGTATATGTAGATTTCTAATAGAAAAAGTGAAATAAAATAGTTTTTTAAAAGGACCACATTTCGCTGATTTTGGACTGGTGGTGATAAAGATCTAGTACGGAACTAGAAATTTGATTCACTCGTCCAAGGTTTCCCTGCTTTCCGGCGAAAAACTTGTACGAAAGGATATGATGAAGGCTCTTTGCCTACGTGATACTTCACGTGATGGCTAGAGATGGATATAAGTACGTCACTCAATTGTCAATGGCGGCTGTCAATTCCATGTTGGGTATATACAGATTTACAAATATTCATTTTTAGCCGACTTCACAAACAAAAAGGAGAGACGTTACCTTATCATCGATATATATATAGATTTTTTTTTGTATTTCACCGGATAACTTTCACCACGAAACCCGTGTTCAATAATTAATTTTTTATCGGTAAGGTGGTACCCCGAGGGTGGTCCTATTCTAATTTGGTTTATTACCGATCATTGGATCGTTTTAGTCGGTTCTTTATTTAAAATGTCCTAATGTTTTCCCATACAGATAGTGGAAAAATAATCTTCGCAATTTGCCAACTTCAAATTGATTTCACAGACATGGTTTCTTCGGCACATTAGCTTAGAATTACACGTAGAACCCTCCTGTGCTATACACGCAAAGTAAAAAAAAAATGGCACGCCCTACTAACCATTTATCTTATTTTTACTTTATTGGCGCTGTAAGCACCTAATTCCGTTAAAACTTGACTTAAAAAATTTAAATTTGCTGGGTGCTTCCGAAATTGTATTACATACCACTAAACTCCAATATCAATAAGATACGAAGGAGTATAGCTTATCTGATTCACTGACTAAGAAAATTGGCACAGAAATGACGAAGCTATGTGAAGCGTTTTTCATGCCAATACACCACCTTTTAGAAATACCAGGTCTATTAAATGACCTGAAAGAATTCATAAAGCTATGCACTTTCATCCGATACCAAGATGATTAAAAATGGTGCATACTCAAAAATATTTCAACTAGATCGAAAAATTAAAAATTTTAAAATCTGATTATAAGCAAACTGCAAAAAAAAAACGTTCATCAAAAATTTGTTTCGAATAACGGAATTTGAAAAAAAATTACTCATCGTGTTCACCCTATGCGCACGTTGCCGTTTGTAGCCACGTAACGCCCTGTGGCTGATGCAAGTGTCACCCTGTACAATTTACCAACAAATTTTGCGCCTCAGGGTATGTTACGAATCAGATGAGACTCAAGCGGGAAATGTCTGTCAGAATATTGGTCAGAGAATTTTTTTTCGAGGTCGTGTCTTTGCTAATCTTTTGGCGCTCCACGGAAATGCGGAATTTTCCTATTTTCTGCCAGTTTTTTTTCTCGCATGAGAGAACAACTTTTGCGATAAGGCAAAACTAGTTTTTTCTGACATTATTGCGCCACATTTTACCAATTCAAAAATTTTTATGTCGAAATTGGAACTTTTTTTTCGCCAAAAATGCAATGGACTATGTTGATTTAATATATTAGGATCATATATACTTACCATTGTTGAATTTTGATTTTCCAATGAAAGTAAAAATGGCCCCCCTTCGAGTAATCAAAAAGAATTAAAAAGGTATTCACTCAAACAGCTAACTACTGTTTTCTCTCCTTTTGTAAAAAAAAAAACAAATCGAGCTGCAGAAACCGAGGTGGTGGTAATCTGTCTAATCAAAAGTCCAAAATAGAAAACAAAATATATATAATTTTTTTTTTCATAATTTTTTGTTACTATTTTGCAAATATTTTTTTATTTTTATTTATATTTTTGGAATTACGATGTTTATTTGTAATATTTAAATTATAAATTTTTCAATCTTTGTTTTATGCATATGTATATATGTATGTACATATGCATTTATCGTTGTTGTTGCTGTTGCAGTGATAGCATTTCGTTTAAAATTTATTTACTCTTCTCTTTAAACTTAAGCGATAACTAAATGTATAATTATTTATATAAGTATGTAATGTATATAAATTTGATTTTAAAGCGAGGATTACAGATTTTTTTTGTTAGATTTGATGATAAAGAACAGATAAAAAAAAAATGAAAGAAGAAAAACACTGAGCAAACTAGTAGAAGATAGGCGAGTTGTTGAAGACAAGATAGAATTGGTAAATGAAATTATTAAATTAGCTATACAAATGAAGAAGTATGTGCAAGGGCAAAGTGAGCGGTTGCTGGCCGCAATAGCGTGCGTGCGAGCGTGTAAACCATAGTTGGAAATACTTTGTAATTTCTTTTGCACATAGCTTTTCTTTTAATTTTCTTCTTCTTTACTACATTTATATATTTGTGTGTATGTGTGTGTATCGATGTATATTTGAATATTATATAGTACATACATACATTATAGTTTATGAGTGTAAATATTTAAGGCGACCAACGGCTTAGTCTGCATTTTTATTAAACGCAATTTTGTTTTTCTTGTTTTTTCTTTTCAATTATTATTTTTTTTTTATATTAATCTGCTTTTCGGTAGCAATAATTTAATTTTTTTGTTCTTATTACTTATAGAGCATGTGCTGTTTGGACATTTTGTAGAGCATGGGCGGATGAAGGAACACATCTGAGTGCATTTAATAAACTTCGTTGCATTTGAAAAACGAACAAAAATAAATAAATTAGCTAAAAAATTCGTTGCCGTCGAGTAAGTTGCAGATGGCTTTTAATAAAATGAGGCAAGTAAGAATGAGATGAGATAAATGTGTGAAATGACGTGATGTGACTTACAAGTAGGCCAAATTTTACAGTTTAACGCGTATGCACTTATTGACAAAAAATATATGTATGTATATGTTTACACGTACATAAACATATATATCTATAGCTTTTATATATAAATACAAATTACAATCATACATACATATAATTCGACTCATAAATTTAAGCTAATTAACTTAAAGTTAGCGCAATTTATTTATAAATTTTAATTAGTCGAACAAATAATAGTAATAATAATGTTAATGAGAAATGAGAGCTTGCCACGATTTTAACCATGCTTAACAAATTAGCTCACACTGGAATTGCGCCTTCTCACTGATATACATACGTTGTCTGCCTAAAATGCTGATCGCGGTATTCCTCCTACTTCTTTATACTGAAATACAGAGCCGACTTTTTAATGTAATGCTTTTGTTTTTATAACAGCATAGAAAGTTCCCAAATACTTGAATGCTGCCGGGTGAACAGAGCTTGCCAAATTAAAAATCTGGACCGTTCAGGTTGAAGTAGGCTCGACAGTCGTCGGAAACAATATGACTCCTTTTTTTGTTTCTTGAATTTACGACAGACCAAAAAAAGTGTTCTAAGGCGGGTTTACAAAGTCAGCTTAGGATTGAGATGCCTTTTTTAGTTTTGTTTTTACAAGTTTCAGTCGCATTCGAAGTTCAAAAATCACTCCCAGTTGACATTGTACACCCAATATTGCTCTAACTCCACGTCTTATAAGGTTTTTTTTTGAAAATGTTTAAAGTATCTAAATGTGTAAATTAGCATAAAAGCTTAGCTTATATATAAAGGCAGTTTTATACAAATATCCTTCTTACAACAGTCGGCCCTGCGTTACTCGAACGATCTAAATTCATTTTGGCGAAGAACTGTAACTTCAGCAGCATTCCCTAAACACGTTTTGGAGGATTTCTTTGCTTTCACAACAACATACGATTTTTGGTTTTAGTTTCCAGTTTGTGCAAAGTGCGCTGCTCGTTTGAAACATTAATTTTTTTAATAAAGAAAAAAATAAAAATAAACAAAAAACATAATATCAAAAGCTTATATTTATAAGAAATGCGAGTGCGAATGACTTTCGAAGTGCAAAAATTGTATATCTCATACTCAACAGCTATCGGCCTTTATGTGAGGATATGCCAAGCCAACGTTACTACATTGTCTACTTTGTAAGTAAAGTCAAAGCAACACACAGAATGTTTTAAATTTTCATACCAATGGACGTGGCAAACAATATCATGCAAATGGATGTTATTTTTTTTTCGATTTTTCGCCATGAAATATGTATGCGTTTTTAGGAGCATTTAAGGCTATGAGGGCGATCACAATGTCAACTAATAGTTGAGAGTTTTTCGAGGCGAACATTTCATTGCTTCCCGCATTTTTATAAATATAAGCTGACTATATATATTCTTGAACAAAAAAACGTAACAAAAATAAATAAATATTGAAAAAACGAAAGAAAATAAATATAAATTAGCGCTTTAGACTATGCATGTATTATAAAACAATAGGTCAACGCTTGCCATTTCATTGTTGCTATTTGCTATTTAAATTTATTATTATTATTATTATTTTCTTTCACTTTAATACATTTTAAATTTCTTCGCGCACGCTTACTACACATTTACCAAATATTCGTACAAATAGTTTAAGAATTGTGTAAATTTACTTAGCATATGCATACGTATGAGTGTGTGTGTGTGTGTTTATGCATCTATACAATTACATTAATAATAATTAGCATTTTTACAATAATTATAATTATTGAACATGAAAGTGTTTTTCTTTTTGTTTGATTTTGTATGAGAAAATGTTTGGGACTTTTTGCATTGCTTCGCTTGTAATGATTACACATTTCCTTCGTTACATTTGGTTTTTGTCTTTTCCTCATACTTTAGTTTTTTTTTGTTGTGATTTATTATTTTTTGTTTGTCTGCTCTTCTTGTTAATGTCATACTGATAATGGTAATGTTAATGTTAATCTAATGTCGATGATTTAGTAAACTAGGGCATTTTAAATCATAAATACTGACGCACGCAAGAACGCAGCAGCAAAAGTTCAAACAAATAAACAAAAACAAAAAAAATAAACATAAACAATTATATTTAAATTTAAATTTTTTTATTATTATTAATTAATAATTATTGATAGCTAGTAGCTTACGTACATTTACATTAATCTAAATAGAAATAACGAGTAGTTTAAGTGTGTGAGGCTTTTGAGTTTTGTGATTTTGTGTTTGTTTATTATTTTTTATTAATTTTATTTGTAGCCTTAGAATTTCTATGCTTGTTTTGGTTGTTGTTGCTTTTTTGTTTTTTGTAAGTAGGTGTGAGCTTGAGCATGTGATGTTTAGTGGTTTGGGGCGGCGTGCTTCCAACGGTATTTTTTTTTTTTTTTTTTGATTTTATTTTGAACACTTTTTTATGGAAAGGTTGTCCTTTCTCGAAAGCGGATGCTGATTTCGTAGATAGTTATTTTAAATGCTTGTTTACTTGAATTGAGAAGTATTTTTTTGTCACTGGTGTGGATATTGAGCAACAATTTAGGCGCTTGTTTTTGGAGTTTATATAGTTAAGAGACAATATTGACGCACGATTAGAGGAAATTAACTCGGTGAAACATTTAATTTTTCTAACAACCAACTCGCACTTTTAAATGCCAAATAGTTAATACTAGTTTCAATGTGCAATTACTTTATACCGTCTATGATAAGGGCAGAAAATTACAATTCGGAAAAATAAATAAACAATAGATAGACAGAAGAAAAATTATCAAAATTCATTTTAAATTATAGTGATGAACTTTAATGAAAGATTGCAATTCTGTTTTACGCAGAAGATTTACTACATATTTTCCAACTAAATGTACTGCATCGCTCTGTTTGTAATCGAGTTTACTTCAGTTTACAGAGATATTTTAAGACATTTATTGCATTGCTTTTATTCAACAAAAAACGAAAATATATATACTTTACTTTAATACTGTTGCTGTTGCTGTTGCTGCTGCCTTCCATTTACTAGTACCAAAAAGTGTTATTATTTTCTTTAACGCTTAGTTTTTCGTAATTTTTCCTCTAAAGTGTAGTTAAATTTTTATATATTTTATTTAATTTTTCTTTTGTATAATTTAGTTTCAGTACGATATTTTGCGGTTCAAGCTACTAAAGGCTGGATAATCTCTTTGTGTTTTTAAGCTGCCCTCCTTTTTTTTAGCTGCACACTTTTGAAGTTAAAACTATTTAAACTTTGTGTGGTGGTGTGTATTTGTTTGAGGCTGAACTGGGATGCTATGGAAGAAAACATTTTATTTTATTTTTACATAGGCCATTTCACTTCAACTAGAAATGCGCTTAATAGGCATATTTTGCTATAAAAACCTACTTTGCCAAATACTTAATTGACTTTATGACGCAGTGATGCGACCACATAACCCAAATGGTAAATGAGTTATGCTCTTCTACACACGTGGCGCAACGTCTTGCTATTGCTAATATGCAACTTAGCTCTTTTCGGCCTTTTGCAAGTTAACACACCCGTAAAATATTGTCCACCATAGCCTCACAACCCGGCCTTTTTTCTATGTATAAAGTCTATTTGTTAGCTGCTCCGTAAACAATAATTTCATATACTAATATTAAACAGTCAATTATATATTTACGTGTATGTACGTACGTAAATGTGTATGTTTAGCGTTACAATATATATTTTATATATGTATGTAGGTATATATATTATTTCAATTACATACTTGCTATATTTTATTAACATTTAAATATCAAATTTGCATTACTATAGCTATTTATTTATATATATATTTAATTTTTCTTTGTATTTAAACTAGCAACGGCTGAGATGCGGCGCTAACTGCTACGTATGTATGTATATTTATTAACCAAATATTTTAGACTCATTCACATTTGCTTTTGTTCACTTCTCGGACAAGTTTACTTGTTTAGGCAATAATTTAAATTACAATAAAGCATTATGTTTTCATTTAAATTAATTACAAAACTAAATTAAGTGTGCAAAATATACTATAATATAAATTAATAATCAAACTTTATACACAACAGCGACAATAGATCTTTTCTTTCTTATATTTTTCAACCTGTTTTCAATCATTGATGCGGGTTTTTTGCATTCGCATTTTTTGTTGTTATATTTTTTTCACTTATAAACTAAATATTAAAAATTAATAGTAATCGCGATCGAAGACGACCTCAACAGAAAATTCGGTTAATTTTAATGTTTTTTTTTGTACCACCCCCCCCACAACAATGATAATAATGAATACACGATAGCGGAGCACACAATGAAAAATGCAGGCAAAAACGTGCGTTGAAAAATAAATTTGAAAAATAAATTTGAAAAATTCGTTGTCGATTGCGCGGACGCACGCTTCAAGTATTTTAGATATTTTTGTATTTTATTTTTTTAAGTTACGACGTCTAAGGAAATTCTTTGCACCTCTCGCTTCGTGTAAAGTGCGCCTGCGTCGTACACGAGTAATGCTAATTATTCGTTTAATTCGTTTTAATGTTTATGTCTAAGATTATCGCCATTTCGCTGCGTAAATTCCCCCCTAACGCCCTCCGTTCTCTAATTTATGCGCCTTGCAAATTTTGTGTTTTTGTTTTTATTTTCGCGTTACACAATACTAGCATGCTTCAACACGTTCTAATCGTTTGTTACTTCTAGGTACGCGCGTGCGTGCACCGGGCTTTTGTGTAATGTACTTATTTCATTGTTTGGTTTCCCCAAAATTTTCAAGTTTTGTTTTTTTTTTTTTTACCGTGTCACAAGTATGCAGCAATTTCAGAAATTTTCTCGAATAAAAAATTTTCACTCTTATTAGAATTAAACGAATGGCTTTGATTTCACATTAGCAGCGACGGCTACAGCATTCTTGACGACATTCCCCCATTTTCCTGGTCCTCGCTTTGCAGCAGCACCTTCAATTCGAACAGCCACAGCTGCTGCAACTGCTGCTAATTAAGGCGTTTTCAATAGCAGTATGTCTTTTTTTCGTGTTCGACTCGTCGTTTTGTTTCGTTGAAAGAAAAAGTTGCGACCGAAGGTCTTTTGCAATTTGTATGACTTCCCCGCTAGGAACTCCGTTAGTGCATCTACGTAGCCTCGTGCGATGTCCTCTGACAGGTGTATGGATATCACTTCGATTTGTACCCGATCGAAGGGTAGCGTTTCTAGGATCTGCGTACAGAAAACAAAAAAAAATATAATTTAATTTTTATGTAATTAATTTGTCTACAATTAAACTTGTATTCTCACCTCCAACTCGTGTCCATGCACACCCAAACTGAGCAGATCATAATCCACACGATTGTACGCCAACATCAGCGAATACAATGGAAAGCATTTGACGCGCGAATTAAACCACGAAGTTTCCTCGTCCAACAGACTATTGATGCGCACATCAGACTCTTCATTGTGTATGGTAACCTAGTGGCACACAGGCGGGCGAGAGAAAAAGTAAATAAAATAAATACATAAAAAAATTAATTTTCTCATAGCTAAAACCATTCAAACACTCACAGCACTCACCTCTTTCGGATACGGATTGGGCGAGATGCATGCGTGCACCACCTCCAGACCCGGCCGTTGCGCATTCTGTTTGCGCAACGTGAAGAAACGACGTGGCTCCGGCTCTACCACCAAGCCCGCCCAATTCAGCGTCGCCGCCAGCCATGGTGCGGTTATTAAATAGCCCATCGCACCCGGCAGCGATTGTATGAAGGCGCCATTCTCTTTCCCACCCACCAGATCGGCTACGTAATGCGCCATTTCGGGCGCCAAACCTTCAGAGTAGTGTGCGCTGAAATTAAAATGCGTCGCTGCTGAGGAGTAGGAAGCGGCCATCGCCGCTGTTGTTGCTGATGATGACGCGGTTGATGTTGCATCGTCTAAAGGCGCATTCTTGAGAAAGTGCATAGGGTATTTGCGCATCTGGATTTCGCGCAGGAATGCTATGAGTGTGGGATTATCTTGGGCCACGCCGAAGAATTCACAGTCGCGCGACATATTCAGCTTAAATTGTTTATGACGAATCTCTGTAAATGGAAGAATAGGAAGAGAGGTTACGGATTAGTGAAATGTGTAAACAGGAAAATTCGTGAATAATAATGAGAATGCCATGAATATAGTCATATATCAACTTTATTATTATTAAGCAAAAAATGGTGAATACGTCTACTACTTCCAGCAAAAATGGAAAAAGATGAGACCTGTACGGACCAGCTTTATTTCTAGTCAAGGAGTGTTCATCGAAATTCCATAGAACCCTGGGGAATTGAACACAATAAACAACATCTGAGGGAGTTCCAGATCCAGTTTTTAGCAACTGGGGTACGACTCTTACTTGCAGAAATTTATAGAAGGCAAGTGGTTCTCAAAAATGGCAAACACTGTTGAGCATGCTTGGTTAGCTAAAGGCTTTAAGCTGATTCTGGGATCTGTGAAACATCATGCTCCGGATTATGCTTGGGCTGCTTCACATTACAAGGATATGACAAGCTCATCATGCTCACAAATTATTTGGACACAAAATTCAAACTCACATTAGGTCTTCAAGAGCACATAATAAAGAGGAAACTAGCGCGAACTCATTGGTTTGATTGTTGTTGTAGCGGCTACAGCAACCCCGCCCAGATCGGTTGGTGTAGAATCGTTAGCGTCTGTCCATAAGGACAGAGGCGTTAGTAAAGTGGGGTTTAGCGGGCATGCGAAGATATGTCTAGAGTCATGGGGTGTCGCTCCGCATCGCGGGAACTCGTTTGGCACATTTGCTTTTACTCTGCTCACGTACGAGTTTAACGTGCTGCAGTAGCCAGAGCGAAGTTGGGCTGTTGTGGTCCGAGTCTCTCGAGGCAGACGAATCTCCCACGTCGGTGACACCCTACTAAGAATTGCTTACAGAGCATTGTGTTATGCTCCTTCATAGGGAGTATATGAGCCTCGTCGTGTAGGTGATGTTGTGGCGCCATCAGAAGGCATCCTGTCGCTGTCCGGAGTGCCGTCTGCAGGTCTGTAGCTTCATCCACTGCGTCCTACAAGACCCCGGCGAAAACACAGGCGCTGCAGAACCGGCCGGCTAATTGCCTTGTACGTTGTCAACAACATTTCATTGTATTTGCCCAGGTGCTGGCGGCTAGCGACTTGCGGGTTATTCACCGTCCGGGTGGTCCGTCATCGACGTGAATACCCAGTTGCACTTTTACCTCCTTCGTCCAAGTCCAAGAAAATGCGAGAAAGCTCGGCGCGATAACCGTTTACTTTCGAGCACAAGTCATCAATTCCATTCTCAGACGCCATTAGCGAGCAATCGAGACTCCTTTTGGAACAGGCTTAGAAATGTAAAAGGTAAACAGTAGTTTTATTTTCCTGGGTTTGCTCTATTTATCTCTAAAAATTTATGACGAGTGTCGAATACTTAGATAATTCGCCGACCACCATTTAAGTCCCTGTGGGAGAGAGGAGGCCTCCTCTAGGTCATCCAGTAGCGTGGAGTGGCTGACGGTGTTGAACGCCTTGGACAGTTCCAACGCTACTAGAATTTTTCTCTCCCAGGGGCGGTTTCGGTTGAGGCCACGAGTTATCTGGTTGTTTATGGCGTTAAGTGCTGTGCACTTTACGGAATCCATGTTGATGCCTCGCTTTGGTCAGGTAGTTTGTATAGTGCGGGAGTAGAAGGGCCTCACTGATTTGATCTTCACAGTCGCCAGACGGAAATCCGACTGAAAATGTATGGAAATCAATGAAGCTGAAACTAGCGGGGGAGTACAGCAAATCTCAGTTTGAAATGAAAGTTAAATACAATAAAGGTCTTGGAAACGCCTAAAACCTCATCAAAAATTTTGTAGGAATATGAGTTGAGGTTGAACTTGGGCCCATGAAGGTTTAATAATTTCAAGATAACGAATTGGTTAACGAATTTGCGAGCTATGACTCTACGGAGAAAATTTTAGAGCCAAACTTGTATAACAGACACCAGCAGGTATGTATATCAAGAAACTTGCGAATAGGGGTCCATGATATGGTAAAACCATATACAAACCAGCCAAGGGTTTGGGATTTATTATTTTAAATAACTTGTATTAAATTTTTAAAAGGACGCAACTCTTCGAGAAAGTAAACGTTATTGCATGTCTACAGCTCGAGTCCTTTAGTTTGACTGCTCGAACGAAAGCAGCGGATCTGATGATCTGAACAAAAAAATCCCTTCGTATATAATGTATATAGATGGCAACACTGCTTACAACTAAATCGCCAATAGATCGTAATTCAGATATCACTCCTCAGTTAAGCAGGAACAATGTTAGGTCTTGAGAAAGCCATACATTTTAAGAGTATTATTTTCTGCATTGCTTTCGGTTTAGTTTTTAAAAGCTCAAATTTCCAATATTCAAAAGGCGACTACACTGTGTAACTCTGTCTTCATTTTAAATTCATTAAGCCTTCATTAAGCAATAATAACGTTACATAGAGTCGCGTGTCCTTGCTAAAATTACCTAATCAGCATAAAGATATGGAATCATTAAATTATATAATGCTAATAAAGCGGCTAACACCCACGCGCCGTTATTAAAATAGGAAAAGCAGTAACACCAACAACAAAGAACGGAGTTAGTAATTGCGAAATGCTTAGTGCAAATTTACATACATTTGCGACTACTATTTAGATTATTATTTCTTTTTTTTTTTTGTTTTGTTTCTGTTTGCCCAGATACGCCACACGCCAGTAGTTTATTTGACTTTCACATGCTATGCCCGAATGGCACAAAATGTCGACACTAAAACCATTGCAGCCGGCAAAAATAAATGCGAAAAATATGTTAAAAATTGTATGTATAAGTATGTAAGCAGGCAGGTAGATACATTAGTTTAACCAAATGAACTAGCGCATTTTAATAAATTACAAGCTGTCAAAGTTGAAGGTGAAAGCGGCACGCCCCCGCGCGGCGACTCACTGCGCTGTGTGTGTGGCAACCTCTTTATGCCACCTATAAGCGCGCCGAATTCGAAACAACGCTCGAAAGGGTGGCTTGCTTTCGCAGACTATGCTCATCAGGCCAGGCAGGCAGCAATAAATGCCCAACGAAAGGATAGTAAATGCGAAAGTATGGAAAAAAGCGCGAAAGGAAGTGTGTTTCGGAAATGGTGGTAAAGGTGTTAGTGAGTGACCAGCGAGCGTCGCGTTGGTCGGCTGGCAATTTAAAAATGCTCGCGGCAGATTTCACACACCCATTTAGGTTGAAGGATAGGTAAGGATAACAGCATATGTAGTGACCGTTAGACACTAGTTAGTTTGGTCATAAAAGCGAGTGTGCGAATGTTGCTTGGAAAGGCAAAGGGGCATCGGACAACGACGAACTACGGACAACACAGTGTGTGGCACGAACTCTTTGGCCCTACATTGTTTGCTTTTCATTGTTCATGTGTCATTCGTTGGAAGCTTAATACATAGTTTATATGTACATTTATTATTTGCACTTGGAGTTTACTCATTCGACACACCGCCCACTGCTAGCCAACCATCTATTTATGGCAACACTCTATAGAATAGCATTTTTAAAGTTTGGTCACAACTTTTCAGTGTTTACTTTTAACGCCTGCAACAAAGTTAATTTTATAGAACTTTTGTAGAATAAGAAAGTTTTATATTGAGGCCGCTTATAGCAGAAGGCGGCAACCGTAAAAAATGATCGTAAATAACAAACTGTGTAGTAAAAATAACCAAGTTAAACTAAGGTGGGCCATAGATTGAAAAAAATTCAAGGAAAAAATAATAATAATAAAGTTAAACTAAAACACAAATAAAAAAAATGTAACAAATTAAGAAAACCATAATAATCATGATGAAAAATAAACATTAAAAAAAAACTAAAACAAATAGGAAACAAGTAAGAAAGTCTAAGTTCGGGCGAAGCCGAACATTAAATACCCGGCGCAAGTATTAAATATATGTTTTTTCACCTTTCCGAAACCTTCCGCTAGATGGTATGCCGGGGTGTATCAATTTTGAGTAAATTAGCGTCCTTCAATTTCGAAATATTGAAGTTTCAAGCATTTCTGAAATTTACCTTTATATGAGAAGCGGCCGTTATTTTAGTCCGATTTCAATAATTTTCAACGTTTTGCTTA